GCCTATCTTCCCCCTCTATTTTCTTCCCTTATTGTTAACAACATACTCTCTACATATTTTTATATTCTGAATTTTGTGTTTGCATTATATCTTCAAAAAAGTTATAATTAACTTGATATTGAGCAATAGTATTTTCAAATTCAAATTGTGCTTCTTATCTAGATAAAAGACTTGGCACATAATGATTCTTAATGGATGTGTTAAAACAATTGATTTCTAGGCACAAATCAATGAACTAATAAATGGTGGGGCGGGGGAGCTTTTTTTAAATTTTCTTTTTGAGACAGGGACTGGCTCTGTCATTGGGATGGAGTGCAGTGGCACAATTCTTCCACCTCAGCCTCCTCCTGTAGCTGGGACTACAGGCATGCACCACCACGCACAGTTAATTAGTTTTCTTTGTTTTTATAGACAGGATCTTGCTATGATTCCCAGGCTGATCACAAACTCCTGACCTCAAGAAACCCTTTCACCTCAGCCTCCCGAAGTGTTGGAATTACAGGATGAGCAACTACGTCTGGCCCATAAATAGTTATTTTGCTTGATAAATATCATGCCAAGTATATTATGTTTACATTTTAATATAACAACCATTCTATTTCCCTAAGATTTCCTTTTCTGTCATTTTTATTTTCCTGCCTAAAGATTTGTAAGATTTGTTTATTAGTCTTATAATTAAAAAACAATTGGCTAGATTATGTTTCTATGAGATTTTCTCTCTCACTTTGCGTAGAGCCACATTAAGCTGTACACTAGGAATAAGTGTTTAGAAAGAAATGTGAGAACACTTCGATGATTGTACTTACTGTAATTGTTCTGGTTTCTTCCCTAGACTTAGATTTTTATGATTTATTCTCCAGATTGATAATCTCTGTAATCATTCATTTCTCTATGTTTTCCCTTTGAAAACCCATCACACCAAATTTCTTATCTATCACACCAATTCACTTTGCTAGGTGCATACTCTACTATTTGATAACCCCACTGATGCTTTTATATCACATTTTATTTTCATCTTCCTGATGATATTGCTTGTTGATCCTACAATAACCTGTATTTCAACATATTTCCTTGTGGTTTCCTGCCATTTATTTTTGTAACATTTTAGGAAACTGAGGCAATCGTATTAGTCTGTTCTCATGCTGCTAATAAAGACATAACCAAGACTGGATAATTTATTAAAACAAGAGGTTTAATTGACTCACAGTTCCATGTGGCTGGGGAGGCCTCACAATCATGGTGGAAGGTAAATGAGGACAAAGTCACATCTTACATGGTGACAGGCAAGAGGGCTTGTGCAGGGGAACTCCCATTTATAAAACCATCAGACCTTGTGAGACTTATTCACTACCATGAGCACAGTATGGGGGAGACTGTCCCCATGATTCAATTATCTCCACATGGCCCTGCCTTTAACATGTGGTAAGATTTGAGCAGAGACACAGAGTCAAACTATATCGTTCCACCCTGGCCCATACCAAATATCATGTCCTTACATTTCAAAACCAATAATGCCTTCCCAACAGTCTCTCAAAGTATTAACTCATTTCAGCATTAACTCAAAAGTCCACAGTCCCAAGTCTCATCTGAGACAAGGCAAGTCCCTTTGTAAAATCACAAGCAAATTTGTTATTTCCTAGATACAATGGGGGTACAGGCAGTGGGTAAGTAAACCTATTCAAATGGAAGAAATTGGCCAAAACAAAGGGGCTACACATTCCACGCAAGTACAAAATCCAGCAGGGGAGTCAAATCTTAAAGCTCAAAAATGACCTCATTTGACTCCATATCTCACATCCAGGTCACACTGATGCAAGAGGTGGGTTCCCATGGTCTTAGGCAACTCCACCCCTGTGACTTTGCAGGGTACAGCTTCCCTCTTGGCTGCTTCCATGGGCTGGCATTGAGCGTCTGCATCTTTTCCAGGTGCACAATGCTAACTGTTGGAGGATCTACCATTCTGGGGTCTGGAGTACAGTGGGTCTCTTCTCACAGCTCCACTAAGCAGTGCCCCAGTGGGGACTCTGTGTGGGGGTTCCCACCCCACATTTTCCTCCTGCACTGCCATAGCAGAGGTTCTCGATGAGGTCCCCACCCTTTCAGCAAACATTTGCTGAACATCCAGGCATTTCCATACATCCTCTGAAATCTAAGCAGAGGTTCCCAAACCTTAATTCTTGACTTCTGTGCATCCACAAGCTCAACATCACATGGAAGCTACCAAGGCTTGGGGCTTGCACCGTCTGAAGCAATGGTCTGAGCTCTATGTTGGCCCCTTTTAGCCTCTGCTGGGATGCAGGGCACCAACTCCTGAAACTGCAAAAAGCAGCAAGGTCCTGGGCCCTGCTCACAAAACAATCTTTTTCTCCTAGGCCTCTGGGCCTGTGATGGGAGGGGTTGCCCTGAAGACCTCTGACATGCCCTGGAGACATTTTCCCCATTGTCTTGGCGATTAACATTTGACTTCTCATTACTTGTGCAAATTTCTGCAGCCAGCTTAAATTGCTCCCCAGAAAATGGGTTTTTCTTTTCTATCAAATCATCAGGCTGCAAATTTTCTGAACTTTTATGCTCTGCTTCCCTTTTAACATAATTTTCAATTCCAAACCATATATTTGCAAATATATAAAACCATATATTGTGAATATATAAAATTGAATGCTTTTAACCCCACCCAAGTCATCCCTTGAATGCTTTGCTGCTTAGAAATTTCTTCCGCCAGATGCTCTAAATCATCTCTCTCAAGTTGAAAGTTCCACAGATCTCTAGGGCAGTGGCAAAATGCCACCAGTCTCTGAGCTATAACATAGCGACAATCACCTTTGTTCCTGTTCCCAACAAGTTTCTCATCTCTATCTGAGACTACCTCAGCCTAGATTGTATTGTCCAAATCACTATCAGCATTTTGGTCAACGTCATTCAACAAGTCTCTAAGAAGTTCCAAACTTCCCCACATCTTCCTGCTTTCTTCTGAGTCCTCCAAACTGTTTCAACCTCTGCCTGTTTCCTAGTTCCAAAGTCACTTGTACATTTTTTGTTATCTTTACAGCAGCACCCCACTCTACTGGTACCAATTTACTGTATTAGTTGATTCTCACACTGCTAATAAAAACATACTTGAGACTAGGTAATTTATAAAGGAAAGATGTTTAATGGACTCACAGTTCCACATTGCTGGGAAGGCCTCACAATCATGGCAGAAGGTGAAGGAATAGCAAAGGTACATCTTACATGGTGGCAGGCAAGAGAATTTGTCCAGGGAAACTATCATTTATAAAACCATTAGATCTCATGAGACGTATTCACTACCATGAGTAGGGTATAAGGGAAACTGCCCCCATGATTCAATTATCTCCACTTGGCCCCACCTTTGATGTGTGGGGATTATATAATTCAAGGTGAGAATTGCGGGGGTAAGGGGGACACAGCCAAACCATATAAACAATTATTTTTGAAATTTTATTTATGATATATGTTGATGAAGTAATGTTAGTCACTGGAATTAATAAAACAATTTTTTACTTTTTATTCACCAGTCTCTGCAAACCTGTTATGTGAAAACCCAGTTAGATTTGATAGCTTACCTCATTCTTCAGTCTTAAAAAGTTATTCCTAGCTTTAGTCACCAAAACCTCAGTCTAGCAATTAATATTTCTCATGCTGTACAGGACTAGATCATTATACAAGTTCATGCTTTTTTCTCTATAACCAGGAAAAATGTTGGGGAAGGGAACTTTGTTTTCTTTTCTTCTTACCCTGCAACTTCTCACTAAGCATATGCTAACTGGGGGCAAAAATCTATTAAAGTGAATACAGATTTCAATTTGTTAACAGGGAAAAATAATCTTTTTAAAAAAATCCTTATATACAAAAAAAATCAAGTACAGAACAGAATGAGAGTAAATATAAATAATCCAAATAGTTAGTAGTTATTAACGCAATAACAGGAGAAAAGACAAAAAAAATCTGAAGCAAAACAATAAGAAATACAAAAACCACATATGAAGAAACTTTTAAAATATTTGTATTAAGAAAACACAAATGTAGCCTTAAATAAATCAGAAAAAGAATTATTTCCTTAAATAGGAATTTTCAGCATCCTATTTATTTATTTATTTTTAAGACAGAGTCTCACTCTATTGCCCAGGCTGGAGTGCAGTGGCACTATCTTGGCTCAGTTCAACCTTTGCCCCACTGGTTAAAGTGATTCTCCCACCTCAGCCTCCTGAGTAGCTGGTACTACAGGTGCACGCCATCACGCCCAGCTAGTTTTTCCTATTTTTAGTAGAGACAGGGTTTCACCATGTTGGCCAGACTGCTCTCGAACTTTTGACCTCAGATGATCTGCCTAGCTTGACCTCTCAAAATGCTAGGATTAGTGTACCTGGCTTCAACATCCTAAAGTGTCAGCATTGCCCAAGTTAATATATACATTTAATGCACTTCTGGCTGTATTCTCAATGCTCTGAAAGGGTTAGCAAAACCTCTTTTCTTTTTTCACACGAAAATGATAATAATTCACCTTCTTCAGTACTATTTCCTTTAAATCATGATAATGATATAATGTCAGTGTTTGACAGGAAACACTACTTTTAATAAAAATGGCCCTATTTGGTTAACTGCATCTAGAGGACCATGGCTGCAATAAGGGAATACTATAGTGTGTTTATTTTCACTTACAACTTTAATATCTAATTTTATGGTATTGTTACTTCCCCAAATAAAGTCTAAAGTCATTTTATTTCTATGTCTAGGTATACTATACAATATGCAGAAAGCCATTCAGTTATCTGTTTCTATAGTTACTAATTCATTGATAAGAAGTACAATATAAGGCTAGTTTTTATTATTTTAGTACAAGCATAAGCAATAATTTAGTTTAACATGTTTTTGAGTACATATTAAGTTGCAAATTGAAGCTATTATTTTAATTTTCTTTGAAATAAAATAGAAATTACAACAATATCAGAAGCTATCTTTGCAAGCTTTGAGACTACGAGAGTGAGAAGTGGAAGCTGGACATACATTTAGGGTAACAATGTTCTTATTCGCATCTGGGATATTCCAGTATCCCTTCCCAACACACTGCTTGAAATGATAGAATTGATGTATTTGCATTATATCCCAATTTGCACATAAATTCAATGGTATCCCCTGTTTTTGCATAATAGTTTCTGTCACTTTTTCCTTTTAACTGTATGTTATTTTTATTCATGTTTTCTTCAGTTATTATACATGGATCTGAAAGCAGAAAAAAATCAATTAACAATCATAATCTTCCCTTTCATGAGCAAATAAAATGCATCCTAATGAACATTTTAGGGTAAAATAAAATTATAAAATAATCCAAATAGTTAATAGTTATTAACTTGTGCTACATACTGACTTTAGCATTTTACAAATATAGTAAGTTCAGTTGCACTTCCCCAATGTCACAGCAGAGATCATCAGGTGAGGGTGATAAACGTGGACTCTGGCAGTCTTTCTCTAGAACCTGAACTCTTCTTCCCTAAAACATGTTATGTCCACCCTAGTGACTTCATATCAAAAAGGATTATGCTAATATGTTCTGTTGGAGTCTTGGTTATTTATCCTCCTTTCCCCTCTATTCGACCAGCCATGACTACAAACACTCCAAATGTACTCATATTTTGCTAGTTTAATTCTATGTTTCTATTTTTCTCTTATGCCCATGATGTAGAAACAGAACTGTAGAAAGCTAAATCTTTCTAATAGTCATCTATTAAAATGAAACTCTCTCTATATACATACATACATAAATATACCTCAATATCTATCAATTATATCTCTATATATCACCATCATCTATCCCTGTCATCTTCATTTTCTATTTTAAAGAGAGGCAAGGATAAGCACACAAGAGTTAATTTGAATCCCCACATGATTATGGACAAATTACTCTATCTCACTCTGCCTTCATCTGTAAAATCGGTAAGATAATGTTACTTCCACATATGGGTTTTCTTTTATAAAATTCTTTTCTAAAAACATTTATAATTTTTTTTTTTTTTTTTTTAGCTCCAGGGTACATGCGCAGGACGTGCAGGTTTGTTATATAGGTAAATGTGTGCCATGGTGGTTTGCTGCACCTGTCAACCCATACCCTAGGTATTAAACCTAATTCTTACCTGATACAACTTTCAGTTCTTAAAGATATCATTCACTCATCTATCTCTTCTTTTGACTCAAGTATTCTGCATTCTAGTTGAGCCCTTATTAGCATTAGTATTTCTTTAGAAATTTCCCCAAATCATATTTTAATACATCTTTCAAGCACTTACTTAAATAAATTTCTTAACATAGTACGTATCACTTCTGAAATCCAAAAATTTTTAAGAGCTCTTCAATACATTCAGGGGCTGCTTACAATTCAAAAATAAATATTATTCAAACTCTAAATATTTCTCCAAACATGTTTTCCAAAACTTTCTAAAGTTTCCTGCTGCCCGGGAAAGTTTTCCTCATTGCTTTAATATGCCATATGTGTATGTAATATTTTCCATAAGGTTGCCTTTTTCCTGAGAATTCTCTGCTTGAATGCTCTTTGCTTCTTTAGTTTTGAAGACAGAAAGTCTTGCTTGTACCATGCAACTGATCTTACATCTTCAGATAATTATAATCCTTTCCTGTTCTTGACTGTGAGAAGAGGTAATGCTTTTGCTGTGAAACGCGTCTTAGAAGTGTCCATATCCTCAATCAAATTTAAGACTCAGAAATTATCTCTGAAACCTAACACTTTTCTATGAAATCAGGTTTGAAGATACTTGTAAACTATTTTGATTTGAGGATACTAATTTTCCTCTGCAGTCTTGCCACTTGCATAGTTTGGAGCTCAAACTTGGACACGATCATCTACAGAAGTGGTTACATAAATAGGGGACAATAATTAACATTTAGCCCATTTTAGGATCAGCCAAAATATCAATGTCTTCAGTCAATATGAAAGGTAAAAGGTAGCATAGCATCAAAATAAAGGAAATGAGTCACATCACATAAAAGAATTGCTTGTGTCATCCTGTACTTAGGAACTTGAGCACTTGAAAAACTCATGAACTTACAGTTTAAGAGCTGTGATAGGAATAGGTTATCTGATATGCAAGGCCCGATGGATATCCCAGGGCTCTACCTCATAGGCTAGAGGAAACTTGTGGCAAATTTTCTGTTAGATTTTCTTGTTGTTGCCATAATTATTGTGGCTTTTATTTTTAATTGTGTTGCTTTAAGTTCACAGGATTTGCGGGACAAAATTCTGAGAGTATACCTATATTGCAGACTTAAGGGGTTTTTAGTGTATTCATTTTGATTCTGGTATAAGGGAAGGGGAGAATAAGGTAAAAATGGAAACACATTGGGTTATGGAAATGGCTGTAGTGCCCATTAATTTCTTTCTTGCTTGCTAGGAATACTGATAAAATATAAGTAAGAATAATAATCGGAGAAAGAACTTCTCAGGTTAACCAGGTATGTGTTCTATCAGGAAGAATTTCATGTTTTCAAGTAGGATTTAATAGTTCGTGGTTTTTTGAAACAATGTTTTCAAAACTGTTTGAAAACTCTTCACCTAAGTTTTAATAATGTGAAAATGATCACTGTTGTTAAACTGAGATGCTGCATTTCATATGTACTGTGATTTTCATAGCGAAGACATTTGGCTTTCAACCTGCTTTTTTTTATGTCTCAAGATAATTCCCACTCATTGAGGAATACATATATACAACATGCTGATCCATATATTCAATCGTGAACTAAAGCATTGTTTCTCTTTATTAGTTGCTGATATAATACTACACTACTCGTAAGTTCCTATCTTATCGGTCTTATAGTTAATATAATATAATTTCTATGTACTCCACAAGAAATACTTTGACTAAGAAACTCTTATATAAGGACGATATATCGTTGAGACAACTGCGTATCCCTCTAATTTCCACCTATACAACACGATGGACCTGTGGTGGTTTCCATATCTCTATTCATATCCATCATAGACAGTTAACCATTATCGATTACGTACGACTTAGGCATTCATAGTCCCAATGGGTCATGGCGCTTAAACCACATGCCATTACTCTTGGCTCTGGAATTCTCCAAAACAGGCTATCACAAAATCTGAAACAAAATAAAACTTGGAAGGATTGC